TCATTAATCATGTACAAATAGTGCCTGTTTTTAGTAATTGTGTATTTTATTTTCAATGGTTGTGAATAAAATGAGCATTTTTTTACAATATTTTTTTACAGCTATACTTTGCTTCTTACAAGATACTAGGTAGATTGTAAAAAGTACTTTAAAATCTGGTTATCGGATCAGCTGAGAAACTATTGGAAGAGAAAAAGTACTATGTAAAAGAAAAACTATGTCTCTGTTCCCTTCTGTGCCAACTGAATAGAGGAGTGCAGACATCTGTGGTTGTATTGCATCACAAGAGAGTGCTTTACTTACACTTACATCAAACACCTGGTCTGGAAAACAGGTGCACTCTTACCCAAAACTCCACTGCTCATGTTTGCTATGAAAGCAAATGTGTCGGATGTAGCAGGTATAATAAAACAGAAGATGCACACAAAACATCTGTAAAGGCAGTTGGGTTATAGCTGGTGTTTAATGCCCTCTAATGAAAAAACGGTGGGAGTGACTGATTAACCTAATAACCTCCCAATGTGAAAGGTACTATACAAATGTAATTTGTTATTATTGTGTGTGTGTATGTGTGTGTGGGGGGCGCGGGCAGCGAAACCAGTATGACTAGAGAGAGACTCCAGGTTAACTGTTCTAAATCTATGCACCCATTATTTGGATGTGAACGCAGCTTACATATAGGCAAGAATCCATGAAATAAATCTGGCCATTTGCTTCATGGCTATTTGTGGAACATTGCTGTGTGCAAATTGGCTGCCATGTTTCCCACAAATACACAGTCACTATACTTTATAGTAAATCATATGAAGCAGTTTGAGATGTTTTGAAGACCCAATAAGGTGCTATATCAAATGTAAAGATTATTATTACTAGATACATGTAAAAATGGTTTGGGTACGGTCTGCTTGTTAAGAAAATTGTTTTTTTCAAAGCAAGAAGGTGATACTCACAAACAAAATGGAAATTTCAGCACACAAGGAATCCAAAAAAAACTGTTTGCCTGCTGTAATAGCTCTCCTTTGGAGATATTATTCTAATCCAATATTTCTGATCTTTCCTCATATATATTTATATCTTTAATCTTAATGTACTTACCTAATTCTCTTTCAAGTGCTGCAATCGATTCATTTACAATAGCCACTTGTCATAATATGTTCCACGAACTAGTATATTAATGTAAAAAAATTATCCTAACCTACCTTTTTGTTTCTCGTAATAATCCTGAGTTTATGACCCCTTGGTTACTGATTCATCATCAAGTGAATAATCTTTCACCATTTTACTCTCTCAAACCCTTTCATGATTTTGAACACTCCTATTAGAAGTCCTTCAGTGAAGAGACTGAAAACAAATTTTCCACATTTTGTGATGTGATGACGCACACGTTGATGGGTGGGCAGACAAAAGGTACCAGAGGCGTCTGGAATGCAAAGGCATTTGGAAACATTAAACATATTTGATAATGACTGCTAAATGACATCTAACTTAAATAATTGTGAGTTAATTTATATGGGTGGAAAAAAAATTATAGTTGTACATTAAATTGCATTCTGAGGAAGATTATTTGGAGGTGGGGGTTTGGGAGAAATGTCCTCCACCTCCATCTCCAATAGTCTGCCCCCCTCCTCTGCTGAAAGCACTCACTGTGCTACCAGACATTCTGTGAGTACAGCCAAAACCTCCAGGATCTCATCTGAGAGGTCGTTTTTTGGGTGTGAACAGGGTTTTCATAGGGTATTTAGCTGCGAGCGTTATCAGATCTGAACCTAATCCTGACCTCACCTGGTTCACTTTCCAGCAGGGGTCACCAGATAGCCTTGGGACATAGACTAAACCCAAGGTAGCCTGGATAGCCCAATTGCTGCCCTGGTTGAAATGAACTAACTCAACACAGTCAGTCAATCAAACCATTTTTTCTTTTTTCTAGATGCAGCTTGATCCTGCATTAACTGGTATCCTTAACCACACTGGAGGAGCTATGAAAAGGCCTTTAAAAGTCATTTGATTCACACAGTCAATACTGTAACAACTCATCTTTCAAAATTATCTGTTTTTCTGCTTCATTGCATGTTGAATGCTGAGAAGCAAGTGGATAGTATGTTTATTGTCTTCAAAAGTATTTCTACAAACTTCAGAGCTGATAATAATTAGCAGATCTTTATAGAACAACAATATTTAGATATTCACACTTGAATTCAGACTCAATGCAATCATTCAGGAAGCATTTTGTTGCTTGTGCTCCATACTTTGGAGGTTGCTTGCAGGGAAATGATTTTGATCGTGTACCTTGCACTCACCATCAAAACCTCTCTGAAGAGTAAAATTCCCCCGTTCAGACTGGTTCACAGAACACTGCTGGGCCTGTGTCAGTGTGTGCTAGTACAGCTAGCAATGCAATGAGACTTGGAGCTGGGGTAGTGACTGCTGTTGTTTATGTTTGTCCAGTCCCTGTACACTGCTCTCCCATTGATAATTTCTTACTGTATTGAAGTGGTACACCTAGTTTGGATGAATTCCAGTCAACAATGAATATAATAATAATAATAGTCCTTGCATTTGATACAGCACTTTTCACATCTTCTAGACTCTCAAAGCACTTCACAGAATAGACTGTAAAGTGAATTGACTGTATATTTGTGGGCGAAACGCGGCAGCCAATTGTGCACAGCAGTGTCTCACAAACAGTCGTGGATTGAAAATGACCAATTTATTATTGTTTTGTTTTGGAGGGATTATTATTAGGCGTGTAGAGTAACGAAACTTGCCCAAGGTTTTGCCCTGCCTGGAATTGAACCCAGGTGTCTTGCTTGCAAGACGAGTGCTCTAACCACTGTGAGTGCTCTAACACTGAGCTACAGGAATATCCCAGATTACAATGATTTGGCACCCTGTAGATTAGCACACATCCATCACCAAAACAGACAACTGTCCCAAGTACTCTCGTAAACCAATGCCAGCCACAACCGGCCCTGATCTTTAATTGTCACAAGCGTTTGCATATATAGTGAGCTCTACACTAATCAACCCTCCTCCATATAGGAGTGAGCTCCTTACTAAGTTTATCTTGTAGTAAGTAGGAGCCCTGAGGTAATAATCTCTTAAAAGAAATAATTTGGTCACTCGATCCACGACTGTTTGTGGGACACTGTTGTGCACAATTGGATGCCACGTTTCGCCCACAAAATATACAGTCAATTAACCTTATAGCATATCCTATGAAGCGCTTTGAGCCATCTTGAAGAAATGATAAGGCACTATGTAAAATGCAAGGATTATTATTATTATTAAATATTTTATGGTTATCTTTCCAGATGACATTCAAGGCTGCGAAAACTGCTGTTTTTCATCCTCAGTGCTGCCAATCAAACAGATATCATCTGCATATCAAAAACTATGAGGGAGGTTTGAAATCACCCCGTGTCTTCAGACTTCAGACCATCATCCTCAACGTAACTTCCTGCAGAAGTTCAGAAAATTGTTAAATTGAGCCTTAATTTGGAATCCAGATTAATCAGATTCCAAAATATGAGTGGATTGAAAAAATTTCCAAAAATGCTGGCTTTTCCAAAAAGGCAGTCTTATGACTGCTGCACTGGGCAATTTGGGACGGATTTCTTTTGCTGTTCTTGTTATTGTACCAGGTGGCTAATCGCATGAACTATTTCACTTGTCAAAAATACGGTGGGGAAAATACAAAAATACCCTTCCCCATCTCAAAGCGTAATGTAGGTTCAGTGTTGCACGCTGGTGTGGTACACAGCTCGCAGGAGAGCAGCAGATGTTTGGCAAAACCCGACTAACAACACCGTCTCGAACAGTTTCACATGACTGACCCAATCAAAGCTTTAGCAGAATGGACGGACTCTTTAACAACGCCTCCTCAATAGTATTGCTCCCGCGGACCGCGCATCATTTGGCTTATCATAGTGTTGGCCCTTATTTATTTCATCCCCTGGGGATAAGCAATAGAATTTTTTTTCGTTGAACCCAAAAGGAGAATGGAACACATTAGAATATATTAAAAAAAAACGCTCGAAGATACATACTAACCATCCCTCCCCCAGAGAGGAGTGAGCTCCTAACTGAGTTTATCTACAGTCTTGCAATCAAACATTATTCAGCTCAGGCTATGTGTTTGGCACAGAATTCCTGGTGGTCGAAGTAGCACAGTGCTGTTCCACCGACAAGACCATGAGATGAGTGTCGTAGCCCAGTCCAGTGCTGTGCACTGAGCTGCCCGGCATTTGGTGTGAAAAACACAGTTGAGAGAAATGTGTAGCAAAGTCCTCTTTTTACAGTGGTGTGTGTGTGAGAGAGAGAGAGAGAGAGAGAGAGTAATAGTGATAGTGAACCACCAACATTGAAGCAATGTGAGTTGCTGAGATTTATGATGAAAAGGACCAACATCACATCACACGCACACACACACAGTTAAAGACAAACACCATCACATCTTGAGGCTGTGTTTTTTTTGTTTAAGACTGAAAGGCATCACATTAAAAACAAGTTACATCTTTTGGAAGGAAACGCAGCCTCGTGTAGGTGGAGCGGGAGCTCTGTGCCGGGGGTCTCGCCATTGGGGGCACCAAAGCTTTGTCCTGAATCAGGGTTTTTTTCCGCAGGAGTGAAGTGGAACTTGTGTTTTTTTTACCGCGTGGTTAAAGGGTTCAGTGTTATGGGGAAGGAGGAAAGATGTAGCGTTTGCGGGTGAACTGCTGCTGCTGCTGCTCAGGCTCTGGTTCGCCTCCTTAACTGAGTGCGCATCTCCGCAGAGAGAGCGAGAGAGAGAAGAAGGGGGTGGAGAGAGAGAGAGAGAGAGAGAGAAAGGGGGGGAGGGCCACACAGAGAGAGAGAGAGAGAGAGAGAGGGTGGGGGAGGCTGAGCTGAGCTGAGCTGAGCTCCAGCCCTGCACACAGCAGTCTGCGCCGTTACCATGAGCAGTGCTGCAGCCCGCGCCCCGCTCTCTGCACAACAGGAACTGCAGCACCGACACCCGAGTCAACACCGATGAGGAGGGATGGCAGGAGGCAGGAAGGGGCTCGTTGCCCCCCAGAACACTTTCTTAGAGAATATCGTCAGACGCTCCAATGGTAAGTCAGCACAAGCAGCGGCGGGAGGCTTTTTGCAATTCGAGCTTCAAAAAAAGTTTTTGTTGGGGGTGTGTGAGTGTGGAGTGTGGGGGCTGCAAAGTGTATTTTAATACAGGAATAAATGATGCCTGTGTTTGCCTTATCTACTGTTCATCCAGTGCAATTGCAGGAACTAACCAGGGATTGTGCCGCTGCCACTGTACTCGGAGTTCTAGGAAACATCAGATTGTTTTTAAATAGCGAGATTAGTGTGTTTTTTTATTATTACAGTGTAAATCGCAGCATCAGCAGTTGTAGCTGCTGTGTTCTGCCCGGTTAGGCGCAGGGCTAACAACAAACCGAATGAAATGCTTCCCCTGACCTGGATACGTTTTTCTTCCCTAATGTGGACTTTTCTCCTCCTGTGAAATCATCTGAGAATGAAACAAGGCACATTACAGCAGAAGCGTGTGCATGTGTGTGTGTGTATATCTCTGTGTGGTTTGGTTTTAATATAAGAGATTCATAGATCGCAGATTACCTTTGGATACACAATATCTCAATGTTGTTCACATTCCGGCTGCGATATCTGCTGTACAGGCAAAAGCTGCAACTTTGCAGCTGAGATGTAAACTCTCGGGGGTGGGGAGGGGTGTGGGGTGGTGGTGGGGGGGGGGGGGGGGGTGGGGGGGGCAGCAATTCAGATAAGTCGATATCTCGAGAGAATTCTAGCACTGGACGAAATGAACATTTGAAATAAATCTTCCCCATTCCCCCTCTGAATATTAAACAGAGTTTATGGCCGATTTAACTGTTTAACTGCTTACTATAATAGTGAAGACACCCCCCACCCACTCCCCTCCTCTCCACAGCCCTGGGAAATCGTGTTGTTTGTGAATCTGGTGCTCACAGTAGTTGTCAGAGCAATCGTAAGAGTGTAAAACCGATTCTTGTTTGTTGTTGTTGTTGTTGTTGTTTAGACTGCCCTAATGCATCCAGACGGTGTATCAGCGGCGAATGGATGGCGGGCGAATCTCGCATTTAACAGACATCTATAGCATCAGACTCAGCATATCTGATACCTGTCAAACACAGCGGTTGTTTATTTATCGAGTAAACTGAACTGCATTGTAATGATAGGAGCAAACAACATATAGAGGCATCTATATCTACCCACCTCCCTCCCTCCCTCCCCACTCACTTCCCTCCATCCCCACCCCCCTCCCTCCCTCGCTCCCTCCCCACCCCCTCCTCCCTCCCCACCCCCCACCTCCCTCCCTCCCCACTCACTTCCCTCCATCCCCACCCCCCTCCTCCCTCGCTCCCTCCCCACCCCCCTCCCTCGCTCTCTCCCCCCTCCCTCGCTCCCTCCCCACCTCCCTCCTCCCTCCCTCCCTCCCCCCCACCCCCCTCCCTCCTCCCTCCCTCCCTCCCTCCACCCCCACCTCCCCTCCACCCCCCCCCCACCTCCCTCCCACCCCCCCACCTCCCTCCCACCCCCCCACCTCCCTCCCACCCCCCACCTCCCTCCCACCCCCCCACCTTCCTCCCTTCCTCCCCCCCTCCCCTTCACTCCCCCCCTCCCCCCTCCCCCCCTCCCCTCCCCCCTCCTCCCTCCCTCCCCCCTCCTCCCTCCTCCCCCCCTCCCCAGCACCCCCTTGCTAACCTTGCTACACAGTAATACATTGTGTGAATAGAATAGAGGCTGTGGATAGCGGACAGCACACAAATATGTTAAGAGTAAATAGTAACAGTAGACGACAGGGAGATACGCGTCCTCACCTTTCCTTTCCTTACTGTGTTATTGGCTGTGAACGCTGTGTTGCCTATTCCTTGTCAGTAGCTGAGACCCACCCGCACAGCACTTGAAAAGCAAAGCTCAGACTCTGAAGTGGCAAAACCCGACAAATTGCTGAAATATTGAAATAGTTGCCTTTCGATTTGGACCCCATTGAAGACAGATAAACACAGCGCCACAGTAACCCTCTCAGGCGGCAGTGATCCCGTCCATCGATCTGCCCAACGCATCCAATTTACCACAGTACAATATTCTTTTATGCATCTATCTCAAAATCTAATAACCTTGAATCAGTTTGTTTGACGGGAACATGTCTCTTACCCTTTGGAAACCCTTTGCAGTTAGTTTCTTGTTTCACCGCCTGTGCTGCGCAAACAACCACTATTTTACCTGCAATTTTCTATGTCTATAACATGTATTCGAATTATCCTGAATGCGGAGTTCATTCCGAACAATTTTATTTTATTAACGCCTCCTGTTTTTGAAACTGCATGTACAATAATGTCGATGATTTCTCTTTTGTTCAAGATTGGGATTATTTGAATACATTTATATTTAGGTTAGCATTTGTTTCCTTTAATTTGAGGATATACTTTACTTCCTCTCCTTCTGCTCAGGGAATCATATATATATCAGCTTGTTTTAAACACTTTTTTGACCTCTGTAATCCCAGAATGGGAACCCAAATAAAGATACAATAAAGTGCCTTGCCATTACATTTTTAATGTAGATCATTGGGAGACTGTTTTAAAGGTGCTGCATGTAGGTTAAGCAGAGTTCATTAACTTTTGTTCTCTTTTCTTGGTTAATTGCTAGTCAGTCCTGTGTTCTGTGTTAGACCCAGAAATCCAGGATCAGAAGGATCCGTTGAAGGGAAGATACAGATTTATCGTGACGAGGAAGACTTTTTCTCTCAGAAATATGACTGTCATTAAAAAATTCTTTACATTTGATATAGCGCCTTTCACATCAGGCTCAATATGCTCCACACTATCTACTTTACTACCGTAAAGTGTAGTGACTGTATTTTTGTAGGTAAGCAATTCATTTATACAGTGCAATATCCCACAAACAGCCACAAAGTGTATGACTAATATTTGGTATTTTATCAAGGAATTTGCAAACCACGGCTTTAGTTATATTTTTAAAAATTATATGCTTTTAAGTAGGACTAAGTGAACAATTATGCTGCAATACGGGACAGAACACAAGACAAGAACCAAGTGGTTGATTTTCCACAGTTTCATTTGCAAGCCAGAATCTACTGGATGAATAGATAATCCAGATTCTATTATTTTTGCATTTCTTTTAGGAACCAATTTTGTGTTCATAAAATCATAGAAATTTACAGCATAGAAGAGGACCATTCACTCTATTATGCTATGCCAGCTCTCTAGAGAGTCAGAACTATCTGTTTTTTAGACTCATGTCACTCCCTTTTTCCCCACATCCTTGTATATTTTTCTTATTCAAGTGTTTGCCTAATTCCCTTTTAAAAACTAAAATGATGACAGAATGTTGAGCTTGTTGATTTTGAATGCCATCCTTTTGTTCCTGTTCATTCTGTTGAGATGATGGATTTGGAATTTATTCCAATATGCCTTTACCAAGAATTAGATGACAGATTACAAGCAAGTGACTAGACTGGCAAAGGGAGTTCACATCAATACATGATAAAAAGACATAACCCTGGAAAGAATTTTAACAGATCTAAAGAGTTAATGGTACAATTTCTTAAATGGATCGCATGAGTTTTCTCTCTGATATTGTTTTGCCTATTAAAACAATCTGTGTATTCAGTACATCAGCACGTATTATGGTAAACTGGGAACCTTAAACTGATTAAAGAACTTGGCTTCACCTCACACTTTAATCAGCTTTTAATTCTCAATGCTGACGTAGAATATACTGAAATCTTCATTGTAACCTAGCTTGTTGACTACTGTGTCTTAGATCTACCCACTAATGCAGTTTATACACAGTCACTAAACTTTACAGAACCTTTGTGAAGTGCTTTGAGATGTTCTTTCAGAGGCTTTCAGCCTCTCTGCCCCCACACTCTGGAACTCCATCCCACGGTCCCTTCGCCTCGCTTCCTCCCTTGCATCCTTCAAGGCCAGTCTCAAGACCCTTCTCTTCGACCGTGTCTTTGGTCTCCCTCCCACTTCTCTGCCTTCCTCACCCCTACACACCACCCCTCTCTCATGCTCGGGCCCCGACATCTGACTGCTCAGTGCTTTGGGACTTCCTCCCGACGTGAAAGGCACTCTATAAATGTAATTTTGTTGTTGTTCTCAATGTTACAGGTGCTATACCAAATGCAGGGATTATTTTGTGTAGATTTTTGGCGTGATGGTTACTTCATCTGAAGTAAACATGGAAATTTGCACTTTAATATCCAATCTTAATTGATTGATTGATGATTATTTTTCAATTCTTGTTCATTCTAACCTAACCCCAAATCAAATGATTGGTATAACCAATGGCAGTTTGGCAAGCAACAAAAATGAATTCATATTTTAAAAAAAACTGAATTCTCCCAAGGTTTTCTCATTGATGAAATCCCATTAATACTATTGCCTTTTCCCAGAACTATAAATCTGCAATCCTCCTCTGAACGTCATTTCAGCTAATTGCGTATTGACTTACTGCTCGGTGATGGTCAGTATTTATATGTTATGATTACCCACTGATCTAGCTCCTTTTGGTTAAAAAATAAAGTTATCAGTTCGAAGGCAGGAGACAAACGAGTGTTCTGATTTTAAGGCATTTGACAGAATCGATAGTTACAGACAGGAGGAGCGGGAGAAATGAACACATGTAACCAGAAAGACAGCTGCCACCTACAGAGAAATTGCTCTACTGTATTTGAAACTGTGACCTTCTCTTTCTTTGAAAACCATGCTAACTCTTTCAGTTACATTTTTTCAAAAAGAAAAACAAAGAATTGCGCAGAAGTTGTCTTGTCAACCTTCACAAGGACTTCTTTCAGGAGTATTAAAAGCCAATAGCATGTGAGCACTGCAGAATCTTTCATAGTGTCCTGCGGTGTTAAAGAAGTATCTAATCGCACTCACACAGCAGCCTCTGCAGCGTCTAGATTTTAAAAGTAGAAAATAGTTACACGTCTCTAAGGAGGTCTGGAAAATTCTCAAAATTTAAAACCGAATCAGCAAAAATACCATATGCCATTTTTAGCTTTTGTTGAAGTAATACTTCCTGA